TGAATGTCTTTTAAGACTTAACCCACATTTAGACTAGGCACTCGAGACTAGGTTTGTCTGTCTATAGACATGTCAACTTCTGTTTGAATCCTAAGCTAGAGCCATAGTCAGATCTTTGTTTGGGGACAGATAAAGTGGAAATACTTCCGTTTAAGTATTACTATGGCACACATTTCTTTCTCCATCCTTTCTTTAGGGCAAAACTAAATTTAGCTCTTTTTTTTTTTATTTTAAATAAGGCAAGAGCTAAAGGAAGGAGGAATGAGGAAGAGAGTTCTTTCAGATCAACAGTTTCAGCTGTGTTCTAGACACAATTTGTAATGAGTTGTTTGCTCCTGGATTGTAAGATAGATGGAGCTCTCGAGGAAGTCGATCTCTGAGGTAGTAAAACTCTTAAAGTATGCATTTTTAGGAGGTAATATCTCTATATCACAAGTGTTCTATGAACTCATAAGAAGGTTAAACAATACAAATAGTAATTAATCTGGGATGAATCTGAGATGTCTAAGTAGTTGTCTGTGTTAACAGATGCAATGTATTTCCACAAAATGCCAGTAAAAAGAGAAGGAAAAGGAAAAGTTCAAAGTGGGGGGGAAAAGTTAGCGCAGTAGTGTCAGAATAATAATCTGTGAATTTAAAAAGACAGCAGAACAGAAATTACAATAAATTGTGTTAACTCTGAAATCGTCCCATTGTTTTTTTTGGGAAGGGAATTCCAGCTAATGTCTAACCTTGTTACATGAACTAGAGCAGTGTGTTCTATTCCTATAAGTGGCTTGATTAGTACCTTTTTTCTTGTGACTAGTTAGTGATGTGCTTATTTAATAGGAAGCCTTCTGCCTGCAGAATTTATCTGCTGCCTGGTCTTGTTGCAGATCTTTTTACTAGATTAAAGCAAGGTTAACTTTCAGTCAGCGATTACTTATGACTAGATGGAGTTTTCTGTGATGGGTCAGAACATGCTTGTGACCAGGGCAGTAGGCACTGGGATCAACCTAATGCAGAGGGGATAAATTCACAGACAAATTGCTGCTGAAATTGAAAAGCCGTATGTAGATATTCTAGAACAGTGGCTGTCCTGTTATCCTTTCTCAGCACTGGTACTTTGAAACAAGGTTGCTACCCAGCAACTAGTCAGTGTGTTAAAACAGATAGGAAGAGTTGGGCTTTCAATAAACCATGCAGTGTAAAACAGACAGACAAACCAGTGACCCCAGAAAGAAAGAGTATATTCTTAGTTAAAAAAAAACCCTAGGGTTTCTCATTTTCAGTCTCCATTGGACCTAAAGGCAGTTTATTTTTTTCATTAAAGCATGTTCCAACTTACGGTTGGATTGAAATGCTTTTAGGTTGCTTCAATTTCCCTTTTTCTTTTTAATTCTAGAAATATTAAAGGAAACTTTTTTTTATGAATATACTTTTTTGTATAAGTGCTTTTTTGAAAGGCATTTATTCCTGGGGGATTTTATGTCAGAGGGAGGCCAGATAATGTATCTTTGTTTATCATTTACAAAAGGGTTGACTTGGGCTTTTCAGAATATATTACATATTTTAATAAGTTTGATTTGATTGAGAGAGGGAATGATTGAGGGAAATGTTACACACTTGGTGAAGAGATAGTGTTTATGCTTAAACTCTGTCCTTGAGAAAGTATTTAAAAAATGATTTTATAAAGTATTATAGTGGAAGAGTTGGATTTGGTAGGAAGAATGTTCTTACCTGTCTGGAAATGAAAGGATACTCTGAATATATTTAGATCTAGAACACTGCATCTAAATGTGTGGTGTATATCCTAACCACCCGGGAAACTTTTAAAAAACAATACCTGGAAGTTTCTATATGATTTTCATTATTATGTCTTTGAAAGTTGCCCCAGCCGTACTCAGTGGGTTCCCATATGTCCTACTTTTCTCAAATCACAGAACAGTGTTTAGTGTTTGGGAGATGGGTGCAAAGCAGCAATATGAGTTTCTGTTTTGATATAGTTGCTTTAATATTGCACTTCACATTTCCTACACTCCTAAATATTCAGAAATTAGAATATAGAGGGGGTAGGGTATAGCTCAGTGGTAGAGCACAACTTAGCATGCACGAGGTCATGGGTTCAATCCCCAGTACCTCTGTTAAATAAAAAATAATAATAAATAAGTAAACCTAATTACCTACCCCACCAAAAGAAATTAGAATATAGAAAGTAGGAAATAAGTCAGAAAAATAAACAAATTTGTCACTTATTCTAATGAACCCCCTTTATCTCCCCAGCAGTTAAGCTGAATTCTAGGATGAAATATTTATTGGTTTACCGTCTTGTTTTTCAGTCACTGGAGGAGGACCCGTGGCCAAGGCTGAACTCTAAGGACCACATACCTACTCTTGTTCGTAGTAATGCCTTCTCAGAGAATTATTTAGAAGTACCGGCTGAGATAGCTCGAGGGAATGTCCAGGCTGCAGTCATACCCTCAAAAGATCCAGAGCCACTTGAAGAAAATTGCACTAAAGCCCTGACTTTAAGAACACATGATTCTTTGAATAATAGCTTGTCAGTTGGCCTGGTGCCTACCAATTCAACAAACGCCATCATGGACCAAAAAAATTTAAAGATGTCGACCCCAGGTCAAATGAAAGCCCAAGAAGTTGAAAGAACCCCTCCAGCAAACTTCAAAAGGACACTAGAAGAATCCAACTCTGGCCCTCTTATGAAGAAGCATAGACGAAATGGTTTAAGTCGAAATAGCGGTGCTCAGCCGGCAAGCCTTCCCACAACCTCACAGCGAAAGAACTCCGTTAAACTTACCATGCGACGCAGGCTTAGGGGCCAGAAGAAAATTGGAAATCCTTTACTTCACCAGCACAGAAAAACTGTTTGTGTTTGCTGAAATATGTTTGGAAAAAAAAATTTTTTTCCAAATACAAGAGGGCTTTTTGAATTTGGTGCCGAAGTTGAACTTTTTTTAAAGGGACAAAATAAAAATAGTATACAGTTTGACTTTTTGGAATTTACCAGTTTTATCCTGGCCTGTACTTGCTTGTATTATAAATGTGAATTCTGTAGATGTTAGGGTATAAGCTGCTGTAAAATGTGTGTAAATTTGTATCCTTCACACAGACTCAGACTCTCACTCTGATACACAGTAAATGTAACAACAGGGCTAAAGGTTTTTAAAAAAAATGAAAAGAATCTATTAGATTTTAGAAATACATTTAAACTTTTAAAAATGCTTCTTAAGAAATTTGTATAAGTCACTTGCGATGAAAACTACACAACTTTTTAAAGTAAATTATTAAGCGAACTGGAAAAGTGATGTATTTTCATAGTGACCTGTGTTCCACTTAATGTTTCTTAGAGACAACTAGTGTCTTTTGAAAATTATTTTTTATTTCTAATTTCATAATCCAGAACTAAATTTTTCATAGAAGTGTTGAGCCATGCAAAAGTAGCCAGATGTTAGTCTTCTTGTCCTAATTAAAATGCTATGCAGGATCTCTTACTTCATTCAGTAACATTTTTTCTAAAACATTAATCATCAGACTTGCTCACTAAATCTTTGGAGTGGAAGAAGGTGCATTTGCCTAAAATGACACCCTTCTCGGTCATCCCAGACCCTCGGTGGCATTAGTAGGTCCTAAGATAGTTACTCTCTTCTAGTGTTTGCATAAAGTATGTGACGTTTTTCTTGCTATTTCAATAACAGATGGTGCTGCTAATTCCCCACATTTCTTAAATTATTTTATATATCCTACAGTTTTCATTGATTATATGGATACATGTTTGTTCATCTAATAAATCAGTGAACTGTTACTAACGTTGCTGGATTTTTGTTGTTGGTTTGTTTCAATGCTATATATTAACTTTCTGTTTATTCCATGATCATGCTTTAGAGTAACAACTTAAAATACATGTAATACTCTTTTTTTTTCACTTTTGACTTTTTAATTTAGAGTACATTGAAATATCCAGCAATAAGAATATGGTTGAGTCAGTTATGGCTTAGAAGAATTTGATGAAATAGTATGTAGTGATTAAAAATGAATAAAACTATGTTCTTTGCTAATGTAGAAAAAACTCAAAGGGACTAATACCAAAATACAAAATACTAAATGTGTCATTTTGGTGTGCTGAACTGTTCTACAAAGAACCTTTTATAGTTTATTAATTTAGGACAGATGCTAAAGGAGACATTGAAGAGTTAATTCATGCATTCAACGCTGATCATGCACCCACAGCATGCTAGGAACTGCCTCTTGGAAGCACAGTGTTTTCCATAGGAGTATTAATTGGGAACCAGTGGTCCAGGTGAAATGTTAATTGTAGGTAATTTTTCAAAAGTAAAGAGTTTGTTTTTCAGATCTTTCCAAGATAACATAGCAAGTAGCATACACTTCTGAAGTCAATTTTTTGTGAAGGATTTTTCCATCTTTATTTTTCAAATTAGTTCTTTAATATAAAATGTCATACATAGCATTAATTCTTTTCTGGATCACATTTTTGGTGTAATAGAGTTCAGTTACATACCATACTAGGAGCTATCTAATACGGGAAACGTTCTTGGTTTGAAACATTTAACTGAAAATGCTAGTATTAGCTCTTCTTCTGTATGTGTTCCTAGGGCTGTGTTTAGGCCTATTTAAGGAGTTGACGATGCTATGCAATTCCAAATAATGTTTTAATGTTTCTGCTATTTTTATTACATTTTATTTGCCTATAGTGTATAGATCAGTAGTATGATGCATGATGGAAAATTCATGATGTATAAAATGGCACCTCGGTCCCCACAGTAGCCCACAGTTCCCCCCTTTTTATGTGTGTGCTTTCAGTGACAATCTATGTATAGACATGCAACTATACATGTTTCTTAATTTTCTATCTTGAAGAATTTTCCATATCAGTACATTACAGAGCCTCCTCATTCTTTATTTTTAAAATTTATTTCATTCTATTTTATATGTTTTGTTCTTTTATTTGGGGGGGGGTAATCAGGTTTATTTTTTAATTTATTTAATGGAGGGACTGGGGATTGAACCCAGGACCTTGTGCATATTAAGCACACGCTCTGCCACTGAGCTGTACACCTCCCCCTCCTCATTCTTTGGAATTCTACTCTGGAAAGAAGTTATTTAACTATGCCGCTACTTAACCATGTCCACTGAAAGGAAAACAAACATTTCTTCTTTTATTCGCGTTCATAATACTTAACGATGTCAGATGTGTGGGTTTTCCTACACCAAAAAATTCTCCAGTTTTCTGCAGACACCAATTGAGTGTCCTACAATTCAGCTGTCTGACACTATCCCTCTGGAACTACCATCTGATCCCACAAGTTAAGGGCTCAGTCTCACTTCAGACTCTAATTGCAAGTCCCAGATTTCACGTACTCTTCTGACTGGCTGACTATACATCAGGGTTCCCACAGTCATCACCTCGGGTTTGATAATTTGCTAGAATGGCTCATAGAACTCAGGGAAACACGGTTTATTATATATAATAGATGATATAGATGAACAGCTAGATGAAGAGACATTAGGGAAGTCCAGAAGGGTCCCAAGTGCAGGAGCTTCTGTCCCCATGAATTTGGGTTGCACCACCCTCCCAGCATGTGGGTATGTCCACCAGCCTAGAAGCTCTCCAAGCCTCATAGTTCAGGGAGTTTTATGTAGGCATGATCAATCATTAACTCAGTCTCTAGCCTCTTCACCTCCCAGGAGGATGGTGGTGTGAGGTGGTGAAATTTCCAAGCTCTTAATCATGGCTTATTTTCTTGTTGACCAGCCCCATCCTGAAGCTTATCCAGGAGCCCACAAAGAGTTGTCTCATTAAATTAACCAAAGATTCCTCTATCAGGAAATTCCAAGGGATTTAGGGGCTCTATGTTAGAAACCTGGGTCTGATAACCAAAGACAAAAGATACTCCTAGCACTTTTTACCACCTAGGTTTTAGGATCCTTAGCCAGGAGCTTCGGACAAAGACCAAAATACGTATTTCGTACATCGCTATCATGTGAACACACCGGTTCTTTTAGATATTTTGTAGAACAGATAATTATTGATTTACCTTATGCCTCAAAAGACTTAAAATAGGTATTAATTACATACTGCTGCACTGTAACATCTCAAAATTTCGCAGCTTAAAGCAACAAATATCCCCACAGCTAGAGTGTCCGGAATCTGAGAATGACTTAGCTAGGTTACAGTCTCCTGTGGTTGTGATGCAGGAAAATGGATGTGGGGCTTGAGGAGGGCCGTGTCCCAGGTCTCGGTTGAGCCCCTGGGACGTGCCCCGCCAAGTGTGGGTCTTTGGCTTCGTGCAGGAAAGAATTCAAGTGCGAGCCACCATTGAGTAAAGGTAGATTTATTTAGAGAGATACATACTGCATAGAGTGTAAGGCAAGAGAAAGGCAAGGAAAGAGATGTGGGAATTGGGTGCTCAGGTTAAAGTAAAAGTAGGTACACACTCCATAGACAGAGTGCGGGCGGTCTCCAAAGAGGAGGGAGCGAAAAAGGGCGCTAGGCATGGTGGTGTCAGTTTTTATGGGCTCTGTAGCTTCACACGCCTGCAGGTGGGACCATTCCAACTGCCCTGGGGAAGGGGCTGAGATTACCAGGCATTGGGCCACCGCCCATCTTTGGCCCTTTGCCCCTTTGCGGTTAACCTTGAGACTGTCATGGTGACTGCAGGCATGTTATTTATCACGCTGTTACAATGAGCATATAGTGAAGCTCAAGGTCTACTAGAAGTTAAACCTCTTATTCCTCAAGGCCAACTAGGAGTTGAAATCTTCCACCATTCTGGTGTTAAATTGCTGTCATTCCTTGAGTGTCTGTGCCCTGCCCCATTCCCTCCTATCTCATTTGCAGTCAAGACAACAATCAGGGCTACAGGCATCTGAAGGCTTCAGTAGGGCTGGAGGATCTGCTGCTCACAATGATCACCTATCTCTTGGTCGGAGGCCTCAGTTCCTTGCCACATGTGCCCCTCCATAGCATGTCTCACAATATTCCCCCAGAGCAAACAATACCAGAAAAGAACAGGGCAGAAGCCACGTATCTTCCGTAGCCTAACCTCAAAGCTCTCACGTCATCAATTCACAGACCAAACCTGGATACAGTGTGGGAAGCAACTACATAGGACGTAAATACTAGGAGGTGGGCATCACTCAGGGCCATCCTGGACACAGTCCATCACAAAGTAGAAGTTAAGAGCATTAATATGCAAAATGTAGGAGTTTTAGCAATGCTTTCATAAGCTGTGCACTAGGTTTGCTTTGGTAACATTAATGAACAGTGTTATTTTAATCACCTTCCAGGTATCTGTAAGATTCCTCTAGTGAAGTGAAGCATTTTAGTGTATTTTTTCCCCTAAATATACAATGTCACTAAGTAAAGCTGAAAACCTAAGTTTATTTTTAATTTTTCCAATGTTTTCCAATTAAAATTTTTTTAATTCATTTTTCTTTCTGTTGTTGTTGTTGTTGTTGTTAATGGAGGTACTGGGGGTTGCACCCAGGACCTCGTGCATGCCAAGTACGCACTCTACCACTGAGCTATCCCCCCTACCCCTCAAAACCTAACTTTTAATCTTTGAGGCAAATATTTTGGCAGTATGAATGGTTGCATTAGGGATTACAGGATACAAACTTTTATAATCCACTTAAAATCAATATTTTACCACTTAAAGTGGAATGTCGAAAACTTACACTATATTACCTTCACTTTATTTTCTAGTTGTATGGCTATATACTATCAGCCCTCTGTATCGGTGGGTTCTGCATCCACGAATCCAACCAACTGTGGATCAAAAAGTTTTTTTTTTTATTCCAGAAAGTTAAAAAAAAGCAAAATTTGAATTTGCTGTATGCAGGCAACTGCTTACATAGCATTTACATTGTGTTAGGTATTATAAGGAATCTAGAGATGATTTAAAGTATATGGGAGGAGGTACTTAAGTTATATGCAAATGTTACACCATTTTATATAAGGGACTTAAGGGGGTGGGAGGCTCAGTGGTAGAGCATGTGCTTAGCATGCATGAGGTCCTGGGTTCAATCCCCAGTACCTCCATTAAGGGAAAAATTAGAATAAAATTATTAAAAAAAAAATATATATATATGGGACTTAAGCATCCTTGAATTTTGGTATTCTCACGGATCCTGGTACAAATTCCCCATGGATTCTGCAGGATGATTATACATTGAAAACCTTAGGCAATGATACAATTTTTGCTATCAAAAATCAAACATTTTAAAGAACTCATGAGGAGAATAGTCTAAGATATTCATCCAAATATCTACCATTACTATTGCTTTTTCTTCATTCTTAATATTGTTTCCCTTTTTTAACTGTTTTCTTTTAGCACTTTAAAATATTTGCCACATAACTGACTGTACTTCAAAAAAAAAATTTAAAAATATATGTCACTTCCTTTGGCCTCCATGATTTCTGATGAAAAACTGGCAGTCATTCAAATGGTTCCCCTGTAGGTAACACATCGTTTTTCTCTGGCTGCTTTCAAGATTTGTTGTTGTTTGTTTTCAGTTTTCAACAGTACGTTTATGATGTATTTGCATATGGATTTCTTTGATGTTTTCCTGCTGGAAATTTGCTGAGCATCTTGAATTTGTAAATTTAGGTCTTAGGAAGTTTTCAGCCATTATTTCTTAAAATACTTTTTTCAGAATTATATTCTTTTCCTTCTTTGTTTCTTTTTAAACTATTTTCCTTTCTGTTACAGATTTTGTTGTTATATTTTTGAGTTCTAAAATTTCCATTTGGTGCTGTTAACTGAAAAACTGGGCTCATCTCTTGATAGATGTCTAACCAAAAGACACAACCAGGGCAAAGATGGGGAGAAAGAAGGATTTATTACTTGCAGCAAGTAAGGAGAACACCGGGGATCTTTCTCAAATCAGTGTCTCTTTGAAAGGCAAAACTGGGGAATTTTTAAGCTAAGGACATATGCATAGTCATGAAAGGGCTTGAGCAGAGGAGAATTCAGCATAAAATTGGGGCAAAGATTGACAGAGTCCAAGCTTCAGTTGATTGAAAAGGTCAACATCATCATTTCATCCTCCACCTAGGTGGTGACCTTAGCTCCTGCAGAACTCAAAAATACGTATCAGATTATTATGTATATCCCTTGAGTAGGAACCAGTAAGTCAGGAAGGAAGGGGACAGGGCACAACCATTAAAAGAATGACACAGCAATGAGCACAAAGATGGCAGAAGATTCAACACCCATGAGGCCTTGAGCTTCATGATACATTCATTGTAATATATTAGCATAGTAAATGACACACTCACAGGCATCATGACAGTTCTGAGGCTGACAGTAAGGGGTCAAAAAGTGGGCGGTGTTCTAGGTCCTGGGAATTCCAGCCCTTTCCCTAAAGTAGTTGGAATAAGCCTCCTCTTTCTTAGCATACAAGTTACTGAGCTCATGAAAACTAACATCTCCTGGTTGCTTTCTCTCATCTTCTGAGACAGCCTGCACTCTGTCCTATGGAGTATGTGTCTCTCTGAGTAAATCCACCTTCATTCTACTATGGCTCACTCTTGAATTCTTTCCTGCATGAAGCTAAGGACCCTCACTTGCCCCAGGGACTCGAAGACCTGGGACGTGACCATGCTCTCGTGCGCCCCATTTTCCTGCATCACTAGGACTCTGTTTTATCTCTGAACTACTGTGTCTTGACTGTTTTTCCTTTGTTCCAGCAGTCCCCCAGTCCCTTAAGCTCATTAATTACCTGTTCTAGAGCAAGCATTGTGGCCAGGCTTAGATCATAAAATGGCTTAGGAAGAAAAAAAAAATCCATGCCAAAGTACTCAATAGGATCATGTTCCTAAGCTCCTCCCTCTCTATAGTCTGCATGGTACTTTCTCCTTCTTTGGGGCTCCTCTTTTCAGGCAGAAAGCCAGGGCTTTAGGGTCCATGCATTTCTACCACTGTGCTTGCTTTTGGGGCTAAATGGCTTAACCTCTTGAGTCTTGGTCGTTGTCTGTAAAATGACAGTAGAGAATAACCTTTGTTTTGTTGGAGGTTTACAGGGACACCATGACCTAGCCTAGGGGGATGGCTGCAA